AAAAAGTTCTACAATCAATTTATGATCATACTATTTAGTATATTTACCAGAAATTATTGAATTGCACACCCGAATGGGATGAATTTTGCTATGCAAAACATACCTCAATAAATCAGTTTTTAAAAAAGAATAGCATGGGGCGCCCCGGGGGCTCAGTCAGTGAAGTGTCAGATTCATGATTTTGGTTCAGGTCATGATCTGAGGGTCATGGGGTCAAGTCCCACACTTGAGCTCAGAGGGGAGTCTGCTGGAGATTCTCGTCTCCTTCCCCTCTGCTCCTCCCCTGCTCACGAGCGTGTGTGCTCTCTCACTCTCTCGCTCTCTCAAATACATAAATAAAATCTTTGTTTAAAAAATCATGGCTTTTGCCATCTCTCAGTGGTGGAGAAACAACACCTACAATTCAAGATCCTCCACGGAACAAGGGCCCAGACTCAACTTGGTCCCTTGGAAAGTTATGTTCCAGGAGTAAGGAAGAACTGAAAACAGCCCAGTCTTCACAGAGATAAACCTAGATTTGAATCGTATCAACCCCTGGTTGGGAAAAGGCAATCTGTCCCTACACTACCCACCAAAATAAAATTAAATCTGATTTTTTTAAAAAGATAACATGAAGGAGGACTTCTACAGTCTTTCACGCATAATGTCCAGCATTTAATAAAGAGCACCAGGCTGGTCAAGAGACAGGCCACACGACTCTACAGGAAAAAACAAACAAGAGAAACAGCCCCACAGGCCCCCTGATTTTGGAGTTATCAGTTACAGACTTGAAAGTAAATGCGATTAATATCTCAAGAAAGTGGAAAATGAGGGAGACAACTGAATAAGAGAACTACAATCTGTAAGTCGAAGAGAAAAATGGAAATTCTAAAACTAAAAAATGCAATAATTGATAGTTAAAATTCAATGGATTGGGGTTACCAGCAGATTAAACAAAGCGGAAGAGAGGATACGTTAATTGGAAAATAGGTCAATAGAAAATGTGCAAGACTGAAGGACAAATTAAAAACAGGCATCAAATCAGAGAAGAGCATAAGCTCTATGTGGGGCTTTTTGAAAATGTCTGAGTTATGTGAAATCTTCACTTATGTGAAAATTGATAATGGAGCAGAGGCAGTATTTGCGGAGATTTTCTAAAGGATTTTCTAAAACTGAGAAAAGACACGTTTCCACAGATTTGAAAGAGAAATCTACACATGCCAAGCAGGATGGACGCAAAGAGCGCCATGCGTAGGCACATCGCAGCAAAACTTCTACAAGCCGAGGGTAACGGGGAATCTTAGAAGCACCTGGAGCAGAAAAGCATATTATTGTCAGTGGAATGACACAAAGACAGATTTTCCTATGACTCTGGAAGCCAGAAGACGATGACATGTCATCTGTGGAGCATCACAAGGAAGCGATGGCTACGATGGAACGCTCACCTAGGCAAACTCCCTCCAAAGCTGAAGGCTGGATATAAAGCTGTTGAAACAGGTGAATACTGGGATCCCTGGGTGGCGCAGCGGTTTGGCGCCTGCCTTTGGCCCAGGGCGTGATCCTGGAGACCCGGGATCGAATCCCACGTCGGGCTCCTAGTGCATGGAGCCTGCTTCTCGCTCTGCCTATGTCTCTGCCTCTCTTTCTCTCTCTGTGACTATCATAAATAAATAAAAATTAAAAAAAAAAAAAGAAACAGGTGAATACTAAAAAAAATAAAAGAAAAATAAAAATAAAAAAAATTAAAAAACAGGTGAATACTGAAAAACGTATGGCCAGCAGACCCACACCAGGCCAAACAATAAGTGATGGAAAGTCTCTAAAATGGCCTTCGTGGCCCTGCCTCCTAGTATTCAAGACACAGCATGATCCCCTCTGCTGCAGCGGGGCCCGGACCCTGAGACTCACTCCCCACAAGCCGGTCATGGCGAAAGCAACAGGTCAGTCCTGAGGTCAGCTTACGGAAAAACGGCTTGTCTCTCGGCAGGCCCCGTGTCCCTCCCTTGCCTCCTCTCACGGGCTCTTTCCCGCCCCTCTCTGAGCTCCCACGCAGCGGGGCCTGAGCCGCCGTGCTGTGCACAGGGAACTGTGGGAGGCCAACGTCTCCGGCCCCGGGAGCTGAGATCCGCCAGGCCACGTGAGTGAGCTTGGAGGTGAGCCCCCCGTCGGACGACGCCGGGTAGGCCGAGGGAGAAGTCCGCTCTTCTTCCCAGGCCCTGTGGTACCTTGTGACTTCTGAACAGTGAACATGCACTATCTGCTCAAAAAAAAAAAAAAAAAAGAAAAGAAAAGAAAAGAAAAGAAAAGAAAAGAAAAAAATCACAAAAGTTTAAGGCCAACTGTGAGTAAAACGTTACAATTAGTAAAAACTGAAAAGGAGAAGACAAGCGGCACAGTCTTGCAGGTGGCACAGTCCTCCCCTGCATCCGACGGAGACCCCGCTGCCTGCCCCAAGACGGGACAGTCCCAGACACCAGGACGTCCGCCCTCCGTCTCCCTCAAGGGTCTGGAGTGCGAGCGAGCAGCACGGTGACGAGCCTTACAGCCTTTACGAGGCCGCCGTTCGACCATCACCAATACGCCCTGTACCTCCGCCCGCGCGGCAGGAACCCGGGGGACACACTCAGTCCCTCCAGGATCCTAGCCCCTGCACTGGTCCGAGCTTCCCCGGGTAGGGGTGAAGCTGGGAGACGGTGGTGGTGGTGGAGCCGGTGGCACACACCGTCTCCGCAGCTTTTCTCATCAAGAGCTGGAGTCCATGTCTCCACCCCTGGAGTCCTGGTCGACCTTCTGTCTTGTTTTGGCCAACAAACTGTGGCCAGCCATGGTATCACCCCTGAGCCCAGATCTCAAGGGTCTGCGAGCTTCCGCTCTCATTGTGCTGCCATCCTGCCACCATGTGAGGGGACTGGCTTCCCCTTCCAGCGGCCACGGCAAGGCCCCGACCGATCGCCAGCCCCGTGGGGCCTGTAGGCAACGCCATCCTTTGTCCTGCAAGCCTCCCGCCAACCACTGCCACCTGGGTGAACTCAGGTGGAACCGTCGGGTGAACCGCTGGGCTAAGCTCCGCCCGAAGTGTCAACCCACCAAGAAGGAGCAAATGAGACGGCTGTGGTTGAACCCATCAGGTGTGGGCGGTGATTTGTCACAAACAGGTAACGGAGCAGGGGCGGTGGCAGGGGACACAGTGACGGGGAGGAGGACCCCTCTGCACCTCCTAAATCACCACGGAAACATCCCACAGGGCGATTTCTGTGCGTGTTGTGACCCAGTGGGTTGCAAATGTCCGATGCTTCCGAAACGACACGCAGCCTCGAGAACCCAGAGAAGCCTGTGGCCTCTGCTCAGGAAGATGCATGGACGGAAGGTTCGGCTGGGACTCAGGGGGCGCGATGGCCCCGCCTCCCGGAGCAGAGCCCCGAGAAGCCCTGGGGTGGGGCTCCCCGGGGTTGTCACACCCAGGCCGGGCAGCCCCGGGGGCATCGGTCGGTGGGGCCTTCCTGGGCCAGCCGGGGCCGGAGGCGAGTGGCATACTGGTGGCCGCTTGGATGCAGGGAGGTACGGTTAGAAAAGAGGAGCTTTGAATGAGGCATAAATATTTTGAAACATTTTGTAAACGAGCTTCATGAGGTTTACATATGCTTGGAGGGGACAGAGGGGCGAGGACCCCTCCCGGAGGGCTCCCCCCAGGCCGTGACCCCAGGACCCCCGTGCCCTAAGACTGTCCCCAGGTCGGGTGCGCAAGGGGGGCTCTGCCGGCACGACGCCAGGGCGCAGAGCTCTCAGCCCGCCTCCGCTTTACCCGGAGCCACCGTCTGCCCACAGCCCGGTGCCACAGGAAGTGGACGCCCCGGGAGCACCGCCGTCGCTGGCCGCAGCCCCTCCCGCCCGGCACGCACCCCCACCCGCAGCATGCGGCCCCTGCAGGCCCTGGCGCGGCTCCCCGGGGATGAGGACAACCTCTCCAGCGCCAGCGTCGTGTAAGCGCTCGGCCCAAGACCCGGAGGGACCGGAGGGACCCAGAAGGACCCGGAGGGACCTGGAGGGATTATTGAAGCTAACGACGACGACGTAGCTTTGGCTTGAAAAAACAAACGGCCGCTCTCCATCACCAGCGGGAACACGCACCGTGACACGCTGACTCCCACGTGCTGCCCGAGGCTGGGGGGGATTAAAAGATTTTGTTTGCTTATTTGAGAGACAGACAGCAGATGGAGCTCGAGCAGGGAGGGGGGGGAGAAGCGGACTCCCGCGGGGCGGGGGCGCAGGGGGCTCCAGCGGACTCGATCCCAGGACCCCGGGGTCATGACCCGAGCCGGAGGTGGCCGCTCAGCCGGCTGAGCCCCCCGGTGCCCCGGGACAGAGGGTTTTGTACATTCTCATGTCCCTGGAGGAAGAGGAGGGCAGCTGGGGTGGAGGGGGGAGCCCCATAGGGGAGCAGAGGAAAACAGGCGTCTCCCAAATGCATTTCTGAGGCCACAGAGCACAGCCCCGGCGTCCAGGACCCACAGAGCATGAGAAAGCCCCGGAGGGCCCCTCGGCTCAGAAGGCGCCCCTGAGGCCTGAGACCAGGTGGGCAGGGAAGGATCCCAGGGTGCGGCACCGCCCGGGGCTGGGGCTCTTCGCCCGCGGCCCCCACGCCTGTCCCGCGGTCACCGCCAGGCTCCCAGCACAGGCCACCCCGTGCACCCGATTGCCGCCTCCACACAAGCTGGGTCGCGCAGCAGAGCTTGGGGTCTCACAACCTTGGCTGGGCTTCGTCCCTGGACACAGGACCGAGGAGCCCCCAGGCTGCGGGGAGCGTCCACACCAACCTCTGCGGGCCCTGGGCCAGGACAGCAGCGGGGCAAAGCCTGGGGACGCCTGGCCAGGGAAGGTAGCCTGGGCACCCCCCCGCTGCCTCTGACCTCCGGCCCCTGGAGGCCCCCCCCATGGCTGCAGCACCACCTAGTCAGGCCCCAGGGGACACGCGGGGCAGGGGGCAGCACCACCACCGAGGGGGGACACGCGGGGAGGGGGGCCTAGCTCTCCAGGGGAGGGTCCGGGTCGGGCCCGATGAGGAGCCAGAGGACCCGCCACTGGCGGCTCCGGGGCACCAGCAGATCAAGGGCAACAGACCCACGGCCGACAAGCGGAGGGTCCGGAGGCCCAGACAGGAGCCAGCCACAGCTGGGCGGCCCTGTCATCCCGCGGGGGACCCCTGCCCGCTGCCCGAGCCCGGAGGGCACCTGGCGGGGCCTCAGCTGGTGAGTCCGACGGAACCGGCACCGTGTGGAGGCCGCGGCAGCACCAGGACTGGCGGGCTGTGTGCGGGGGTTGCCCCGCAGACGGGAGGACACGGGCCCCCACCCCGGGGCCTGCCCGCCGCAGCAGAGGTCGCCTGGGGAAGGTGTCTTCAGCTCCCTGGCCTCTCCCTCCGCAGCTGAGGGCGACGGGGGCTTCTGGAGCTGCGTCCGCAGCGTCTGGCACGCGACACGCTCCTTGGGAGGCGTCAAGCTGCTGTCCCATGAAGCCGTCGGTACCGCCTGGAGCGGCGAATGGGGACGGACCCTGCACAGAACGAGGCAGTGTCCCGGCCAGGCCCGAAGGGCCCTCCGCAGGGCGCCTTTTCCCTCACGGAAACTTCCAGAACCTCTTGGTCCCGGCAGGGCTGCCTGCACCCAGCCTGGGCCTGCTGCATAGACAGAGGGGGACAGAGCAGTACTTCTAAGCGTGGAATCGTCATCAGAACCCCAAAGTCCTACCAGGCCTGCATGGGGGATACAACCTGCGGCCATCTGCCGTCCAGTCAGTCTCGGGGGACTTTCCCCCCACGCCCTTGACCACCAGGTCCCCAAGAGCTTCCCCGGAGCACGGAGTCTGGGCTCTCGCAGGGCTCAGCTCCCGCTCCCGGGTGCACGTGCGGCCGGGCGTCCAGCACACGAGCCTCGGCCCGCCCCGCCGTCCGCGTGGTGTCCTGCCGGGGGGCCCAGGCCCCACTACCCTGCGGTAACCAGAATCCCAGGTGCCGGCAGCAGAGGAGGTGGGCTGGCTCCCCGGGGAGCCCCAGCGCTCTGCACACCCTCCAGGGCCTGGGCCCTGGGATCTCTGGGCGCCCCCGCCCCCCATCCTCCGGGCCTCAAGCTTCAGGGAGGCAGTATGGTGTGTGGCCGTCTGGGCTGCGGAGGGGGCAGCGTCACAGCCCCCTGGGCTTCCCCCCACCACGCCCACACCCACGCAGGCCGGAACCTGGGCACTCCAATGGCCAAGCACGGGAGTTAGGACAGCATCTGGGGGCCAGGGAAACGGGCACTGGGTGGTCTAGGGCGCCCCCGTCACCTAGGCTTCAGCCGATCCCTTTTATTACCTGGCCCCGTAGAGCCCCCTCCAACGGGGAGGCCCTGGGTGAATCCAGTCGCCCGTCGACCTGGCAGGTCTCTGGGGAAAGAGTCCGTACTCGCCGTGGCGTCGAGTGCACACGGACACGCACGCACACCCTCCTCTGTGCCCCTGGCTCACTACCCACTGCACACGGAAGGGCACCGTGGGGGAAGAAAGGAGTGGGCAGTACTGCCCGGGGTGGGGGGTGGACGGCAGTGGGGGCACGGAGGGGGCTCTGGGAGCCAGGGGCAGCTGGGCGGCCACTTGCTGGGGCCAGGGCACTACTTGCAGGCCCTTGGGACACCAGAGCAGGGGTGGCCTGTCCCTCCTGGAACAGCCGGGGTCCATGACTGGGCTCCCTGAAACACAAAGATGCCCCCCTAGACCCCCATCCCCAGCCGCCTCAGCCTGGCTGGTGGTGGGCCCTGGGTGCTCAGTGAGGGTGCAGACGGGAAGTGGGAAGACCAGCCGGCCTGTGGGCAGGGAGGGCAGCACGGGGGCACCCGGGTGACCAACAGGCTCGGGAACTCTCTCCTGGGGGGCCTGGGGGGGCGCTAAGAGACTCACAGAACTGCTCCTTATAAGGGGGGCTGCACCTCCCTGCTGTCCCAAAGCCCTGGGACCAGTGCCCAGCCCCGCCTGACCCTGGGTCCCCCACTCCCAACACCTGCTCAGACAGGGGCCGTGCGGTGGCCTCAGGGCCCAGTCCCAGGCCCACCTGTGGAGTCCCTGCCAAGAGGGGCACCTCCCTGTGCCCCCGGCCCGCAGCACCCCAGGCTCGGCCTGTTGCCCCCGCCCTTTCCCAGCCTGCCCCTCAGCCTCGGGGGACAGTCTGCCCAGGATGGTGGGAGTGCGGCTGTGGAGCAGGACGAGCCAGGGGGCGCTGGGGGGCGCTGAGGGGCCGCAGGGGGGTACAGAGGGGGCACAGGGGGCACGGGGGGGGTGCAGGGGGGCGCAGGGGGGCACAGAGGGGGCACAGGGGGTGCCGGGGGGCGCTGGGGGGCGCTGAGGGGCCGCAGGGGGCGCAGGGGGGTACAGAGGGGGCACAGGGGGCACGGGGGGCGCAGTGTGGCGCAGGGGGGCACAGAGGGGGCACGGGGGCACAGAGGGGGCACAGGGGGCACAGGGGGGCACAGGGGGCACAGGGGGTGCCGGGGGCACAGGGGGCACAGGGGGGCACAGAGGGGGCACGGGGGGCACAGAGGGGGCACAGGGGGCACAGGGGGGCACAGGGGGGCACAGGGGGTGCCGGGGGCACAGGGGGGCACAGGGGGGCACAGAGGGGGCGCAGGGGGGCGCAGGGGGAGCCCAGCACCGCGGGGCTGTCCGGGTGCAGGGCAGGGTTCCGACACCTAGGCCCCGGGGCCCTGGGGACCGACCGGGCAGGGGCAGGAGCAAGGGCGGCGGGGGGGGGGGGACCCCAGGTGGGGCGGCGGGTGCGGTCCAGGGGGGCCCTGAGCCGCGGAGGGCGCTGCGGACCCGCTGGGCGGTGACCCGGGGCGTCCGAGGGGAGGCGGCATCGCACCCCCCACCGGCCCCCGCGCCGCCCCTCCCCCCTGCATTCCCGGGCTCCCGCCGCTCCCGCCCCCTCCGCGCCATCCGCGGGGCCGCAGCGCCTCCCGCCGTCCGCAGAGCCGGGGCCGTCGGGGCGCGGCCGGGCGGGAGGTATAAAGTGGGCGGCCCCGCGGCCCCTCCCTCCGCCGAGCGCTCGACCCAGCTCCCAGCTCGCCAGAGCCCACGGGCCGCTCCGAGGTCAGGTAAGCGCTCGCCGCCCGCCCCGACCCCCGGAGCAGGGACCCCCGGGGCTGGGACCCCCCGGGGCTGGGACCTCCCTCCCGGAGCTGGGACCCCCCCGGAGCTGGGACCTCCCAGAGCTGGGGACCCCCCCCCCCAAGCTGGGACACCCCCCCGGACCTGGGACCCCCCCCCCCCGGAGCTGGGACCTCCCCTCCTGGAGCTGGGACACCCCCCCCCCCCCGGGAGCTGGGACCTCCCAGAGCTGGGGACCCCCCCTCCCCCCCCAGCTGGGACACCACCCCAGAGCCGGGACCCACCCCGGAGCTGGGACCCCCCCACGAGCTGGGACAACCCCCTGGAGCTGGGACCTCCCCGGAGCTGGGACCCCTTGCCCTGGAGCTGGGAACCCACCTCCCCACCCTGGAGCTGGGAACCTCCCCGTGCCCGCCCCCCCCCCCCCGTGGAGCTGAGACCCCCCCTGGAACTGGGACGCCCCCCCCCCCGCGTGAAGCTGGGACCCCCGCCAGAGCTGGGACTCACCCCGGAACTGGGATCCCCCCAGAGCTGGGACCCCCCACCCCGGGTCAGCGAGGGCCCCACGGGGGGGGGGGGGGGGGGGCGGGGAGGCAGGTACGGGGCCTCTGTCCCAGCTCCTCCTGCACGGTCCTCAGGGTCCTCCAGGGCCAAGTTCACTGTCGCTGCTCCCTCTGTGGCCCCTTCTGGAGGGGGGGCATCCTCCCTAACCCTGGGCTCGCGGCTCAGACCCTACAGCCGTGGGGCACCGGCTGGGACAGCTGGGGAGACCCGGCCATGGCCAAGGCCGGTGGTCAGCAAATACCCCAGGGGCTCAGTATGTGCGACGGACCCCGCAGGCTCCTGGGGGAACTCTGAGCCGGAGGCCACACTCGGGGGGGGGGGGGGGCAGGCCCAGCGCTTTCCCGTGGAGCTGGGCCCAGGGTGTCAGGGGCACCGGCCCTCCCCCAGGCCACAGAGAGGCTGTTCTCCTGGAAGGGGCACCCGTGGCCGGAGCGAGCTCTCCCGGTCACCCCCACCCCACCCCGGGAACAGCAGGGCCACACCCCACTCCTCTGAGGGCGCACGTGCCTCCCGGGCATCCCCCCACCCCAGCCACAGGGGAGACAAGGAGTGGCAGCAGGACCCTGCAGTGAAGCAGGAGCCCAGGCCCAGGCAGCCTGTGATGGCTCCCGGCTGGGCCACCCACCCTGGCGGGACTCCTCGCTCAGCTCGGCAGCACCCTGGGGCCCCGGACAGCTGAGCGCTGAGGCTGATGACAGCGCAGAAACAGCCGCCAGGCCCGACGGCGTGGCCCATCCCGCCGCGCCCGCGGGGCGCCCCGGGCCCAGGAGAGGGGCTCCACTCGCAGTCTGACGCCCAGGCCGGGGAAGCTGCGCACCACACAGTGGGCATTTTTTTCTTCCAGGAAAGGAGTTTGGGCCCAGAGATGATCTTACATTTGTTTAATGGCAACAAAAAAGGCCTTTGGGGTGTATTCCCAGCCTCGTCACCCCGAGGCAGGAGGGCAAGGCCCGGCAGTGGCTGAGCCCCCAGCCTCGGTGACCGCCGTCTCCCAGGCCACGCCGGGGTGGGGGGGCACAAGAGCCCAGGCGTGTCCCCTCAGCAGGACTCAGGACTTGATGGGTGCTGGGCCCTTCCGCCACCGTGAGGCTGCCACCCGCTGCTATGGACGGAGGTCGCGAAGCCCGCAGCAGGGCTGGGGCCGTGGTCAGGCGTGTCGTTGGGAGGCCACAGGGAAGGCAATGTGCAGGGACAGTGGGGCCCGGGGCCCTGGGCCACCTGGTCGGGCGGAGCTCCAGCCCTTGCACGGGGCAGTGCCTGCACCACAGGCCAGCAGGGCCGGCCCGGGGCTCCTGCGAGCTGTGGCAGCGGGGGGCCTTCAGCCGAGCCCCTGGGCCAGGCCGGGCCAGAGAAGGGGCAGCCAGCGCTGGGATGAGCAGCTCCCTTCTTTGGCATCTCTCACACTTTGTGCAAAGCCACAGGGCATGGGGGAGTCCCTGGTGTGGGGCACACCTGCAAGGAAGCAGGGAACAGCACCTGGGGAACCCAGCCCCCACCCCAGGGATGAGTGCTGGCACCCCCAGGGATGGGTGCAGGTGCCCTAGGGATGAGTGCTGGTGCCCCAGGGATGAGCGTAGGTGCTCCAGGGACAAGTGCAGGTGCCCCAGGGTGGGTGCAGGTGCCCTAGGGACAAGTGCAGGTGCCCCAGGGTGGGTGCAGGTGCCCTAGGGACAAGTGCAGGTGCCCCAGGGTGGGTGCAGATGCGCTAGGAATGAGTGTTGGTGCACTAGGAATGAGTGCTGGTGCCCTAGGGACAAGCACAGGTACCCCAGGGATGAGTGCAGGTGCCCCAGGGTGGGTGCAGGTGCCCCAGGGATGAGTGCAGGTGCCCTAGGGACAAGCACAGGTACCCCAGGGATGAGTGTAGGTGCCCCAGGGATGGGTGCAGGTGCCCCAGGGATGAGTGCAGGTGCCCCAGGGTTGAGTACAGGTGCCCCAGGGTACATGCAGGTGCCCTAGGGACAAGTGCAGCTGCCCAGGGTGGATGCAGGTGCCCCAGGGACAAGTGCAGGTGCTCCAGGGTGGGTGCAGGTGCCCCAGGGAGGAGTGCAGGTGCTCCAGGGTGGGTGCAGGTGTCCCAGGGACGAGTGCAGGTGCCCCAGGGTGGGTGCAGGTGCCCCAGGGTAGGTGCTGGCACCCAGGGGCGGGTGCTGGCATGGCCATATCATAAAGCAACACTCTGCACAGACTATCTGCACACCCTCCCGGGTGACCAAGGCCACCCCCACCCCTGTCAGCCTTGCTGTGGCCCATCGCAGCGCTGAAATAAGCAAGTGGGGGTAGGATCGAGCTGCGAGGGGCTCCTGATGCTGGGAGAGCAGACTCTGGGTCAGAAGCTCGGGAGAGGCCACGGCCTCCCTGCCTGGAGGTCAGAGGGCGCTGGCGTCCTGCACAGCGGGAGGTACTGCTGTTCGGTCCCGCGTGTTCTTCCTCGTGTGCCCGTGTCACAGATGAGGAGTGGGGTGCTGCTGGCCTGTCTGCACGTCCCCGGTCTTTGTGCATCAGTGGGTTTTGGTTACTGACCATTTGCCTGGTTATGATCTCCCCCGTGTTCCTAATAAGTGCTCAGTCGTACCCAACCTGTAAGAACTTTTTTTTCCCGGTTTTTAAAAATTGTGATAAAATACACATAACGTAAATTTTACTATGTTAACCATTTGTAAGTGTAGAGTTTAGTGGTATTGAGCACATTCATATTGTTGTGCTACTGTTACCTCCATTCATCTCGGAAATGCCTTTCATCTTGAAAAACTGAAACTCTATACCCGTTACACCCTAACTCCCCATTCCCTCGCCCCGGGTCCCGGCAGCCTCACTCTACCTTCTATCCCGATGAGTTTTTTAGATATTCTAAGTATCTCATATAATTAGAATCATACAGCATTTGTCCTTTTGTCACTGGCTTATTTCACTGAGCATAATGTCCTCAAGGCCCACGCATGTTGTGGCGGGTGTCAGAATGTCCTTTCTCCTTAAGGCTGAGTAATATGCCATTGGGTGGACGTGCACGTTATGGTTCTCCATTCACCCGCCAGTGACCCTTGGATTCTTCTCTGTTTCACCTATTGTGGAAATCCCTAATGTGAACAATGAAGTTGGGTGCACAAATCTCCCTTTGAAACCCTGCTTTTAATTGGGAAGGGGGGGTATGTAGCCAGACATGGGATTGCTAGATCATATTGTAATTTCATTTTTAATTTTTTTGAGGAACCACCGTACTATTGTCCACAGAGATCCTACCATGTTACATTCCCACCAACGCTTCCAGATTCTCCACATCCTCCAACACTTGCTCTTTTCTGGAGTTTCTAAATATTAGCCATCCTAATAATGAGCGTTAGGTGATATCCTTATAATTTTTTATCAGTATTTCTCTAATAATTAGTGATGCTGAGCATCTTTTTAGGTGTCCATTGGCCATTTATATGTCTTCTGTAGAGAAAGGTCCATTTAAGTCCTTTGTCAATTTTTGAACCAAGTTTTTGTTGTTGAGTTCCAGCGGTTCTCTATATAGCCCGGATTCTAATCCCTGATCACATCTGTCATTTGCAGAGACTTTCTCCCATTCTGTAGGGCTGCCTTTTGACTCCATGGATAATGTCTTTTCGTACACAAGATGTTTTGTTTTTCATGAAGTTCATTTTGCCCATTTTTTCTTTAGTTGCTTGTGCTTTTGGTGTCATGTCCAAGAAATCATTGTCCACTGCAATGTTGTGAATATTTCACCTTACCCTTACTTCTAAAGGCTTTATATTTAGGTCTTACTTTTAGATCATGGATCCACTTTGAGTTCATCTTTGTGTATGGTGTGAGGTAAGGGTCCAACTTCATTCTTCTGCTTGTGGATATCCAGTTTTCACCGCATCATTTTTTAAAAAACTGTCTTTCCACCACTGAATGATCATGACTCCTTTGTTGAAAAGTACTTGAATGCATATGCAAGAGTTTATTTCTAGGCTCTGTTCCATTCCCCTGGTCTGTATGTCTGTCTTCACGCTAGTACCACACTATTTTCATTACTATAGCTCTGCAGTACATTTTGAAATCAGGAAGTGTGAGTCCTCCGGCTTTGGTCTTCTCTTTAAGAATTGTTTATGCTACTCAGGGTCTCTTGAGCTTTCTTCTGAGTTTTAGAAGGCTTTTTCTATTTCGGCAAAAATCGTCTTCGGGATTTTCATAGGGATTGAATTAAATATGTAAATCACACTGAGTGGCATTGACGTGCTAATATTGTCTTCCGATCCATGAACATGGACTATCTTTCCATTTGTTTATATCTTCTCTAATTCATCTCAAAAAGGTTTTATAGTTTTCAGTGAATAAGTCTTTTACCTCCTTGGTAAAGGTAATTCCTAAATATTTCGCTCTTCTAATGCTGATGTAATGGAATTGCTTTGCGTTGTTCATTGTTAGTATATAGAAATGCAATGGATTTTTGTGTGTTGACTTTTATTGTACTACTTTGCTCAGTTCGTTTACTCTAACAGCTCCTATTGTGGAATCTTTAGGGTTTTCTACATATAAGATTGTATCATCTGCGAACAGTGATAATTTACTTCTTCTTTTCATGTTTGAGTGCCTCTTATGTCTTTTTCTTGCCTAACTGTTCTGGCTAGGACTTCCAATACTGTGTTGAATAAAGGGGTGAAAGTAGGCATCTTTGCTTTGTTCCTGATCTTAGAAGAAACACCTTCAGTCTCTCACCATTGAGTATGATGTTTGCTGTGGAATTTTCATATATGAAAATTATATTTATTATATTGTGATGGGTTCTTTCTATTCCTAGTTTTGGGTTTTTATTATGAAAGGTTGTCAAATTTTATCCAAACATTTTTCTGCATTGAGATGATCACGTGGGTTATATTACATTGATTGATTTTCGTATGTTGCATCATCTTTGCCACTTACTCATGGTGTTTAATCCTTTTACTATCCTATTGAATTCTGTTTGCTAATATTTTGTTGAAGATTTTTGTGTCATTGTTCAATAGAAATATTAGTCTGTAGTTTCTTTTCTTATAGTGTCTTTGTCTGACTTTGGTATCAGGGTAATGCTGACATCACAGAATGAGTAATGGAGTATTACCTTCTCTTCAACTTGTTTTAAAAAGTTTGAGAAGTATTGATGTTAGTTTTTGGAATGTTTGGTAGAATTCACCAGTAAAGCCCTCAGATTTAGGGGTTTTTTTTTTGTTTGTTTGTTTGTTTGTTTGTTTTTGTCAGAAGATTTTCTGTTACTGATTCAATCTCCTTACTCGTTATAGATCTGTTCAGAATTTCTATTCCTTCGTGGTTTGGAGGTTTTGTGTTTCTAGGAATTTGTCCCTTTCACCTGGGTTATCTAGCTTGTTGGTGTACAGTTGTTTCTGGTTCTCTCTTACAATCCTTTCCATTTCCTCTCCTCTGTGGAATCAATAGTAATGTGCCCGTGGTAATTTCTGATTTTAGTAATTTCAGTCTTCTTTTTTTTCTTAGTTCATCTAAGTTTTGTCAATATTGTTGATCCTTTTGAAAAACCAGTTTTTGGTTTCATTGTTTTCTCTATTGTTTTTCTGTCATCTATTTCATGTAACTCTGCTCTACTCTGTATTATTTCCCTCATTCTCCTTTGGGTTTCATTTGTTCTTCTTCATCCAGTTCCTTAAGCTTTGCAGTTGGGTTATTGACTTGAGCTCCTCTTTGTTGTTTTTTTTTTTTAATTTAAAAAAATTAAAAATTTTTTTATTTGAGAGAGAGAGAGAAAATGTGCATCCTGCGCCGGTGCATGAGCAGGGGGAGGGAACTCGGG